GTGTGATGTGTGTCATGTGGGTCTTTGTCTTCAGGTGGACAGGAATAGTTTCTGAAACTACCACTGCTAAAATAAAAAACCCTGGCTAATCACAAATATAACAGCTTTTATTATTATTATATAACAGCTTGTAGTAACATGGACTCAGAAAGCTCCAGAAATGTAAAACTGTCTGAGTTGTTGTAAAATCGTTTGAATTAGATTTTTACATTCTCAAAAAGGTTCAATCTGCACTTTACAAGAATCTATAAAAAGAAAGATGAAGAAAATTCAATTAATTTTTCTTTTCTTGTTTATAACACACAGTTTTAGGAATTTTGTTACATAAGAATTGTAAATACTTGAAAAAGGGTGTACATTATTTACACATAAAGCATTTTTTGACACAGTTATTGACAAAAATAGACAAGAAAGACCAGGCGTTTTAATAAATGTATCTATTATCATGGTATTAAAAGGGTTGCACCGTACAGATTGAAATATTGTAGCTCAGCCAGGCAACACGAGGACGGCTGCCTGCTGGGGAATAGGAGGGTATCGACTTACAAGTGTGGTTTATATGTGGTTTAAAATGCAGTGTGAGTGTTCTGAAACAACGAGCTGCTGAATGATGCCACAAATGGGACCATTACAAGCGCAGAGTTAGATAATCTGCATAATTTTTTTTGATTAATAGTTATCTAATGCTCCATCTGTTTATTTGACTGTCAAGTATAAAAAATAGATTTAACTCAAGTTTCTTGAGCTTCTGACGGACTCCCTAATGTTCAATGTTTTGAAAGTATTTTTATATAACTCCACAAAATAAGTTTGTACTTGTGTTTCAGAATGACTGCTTCTAAGCAGTCTTGCTTTTTATTTTAAACTTGTGCTACCCGTTTCACGGTGCAACAACCTCTCCTTTGTGTACGATTGTTTGACCATGCGCCTATAATCCCGACAGAGAAGAGTGTCATATAAATGTCGAGGACATTAAAACCTTTTGTCATCGTCACACCCATCATTTATCCTCGTGTCATTTCCTTGCCTGTGATTTCTGGTTCCCAGTAACGCCACAGAAAGCCGACCACAGCTCCACAGCAACTACGCATCCTGTGTCTGACACTTGCCAACGTATCTGGATGCACCAGTCAGCTGAACGCGGATCCAGTTTCCTCGTCTTAATACTCCTAACAAGACCGTTCCCTCTGCAGCCAAGTGTCAAACCTTCCAAAGTCACCTCACAGGATGACTCTGCCTTCCCTAAGAAGGAACAGAAAACTCGCAGCTTCTATTTTCACAGTTTCCTCTCATTTCCAAGAGATGAGACGCAACCAGATACCCACCAGCAGACACAAGATTGACATCTAATTATATCTACTTGGCTTCTTTTCATCACTTTCTTAGTGCGATTGGGAAATGTTTGAAGGATGGCGTATGGTTTGTTGCCTTTTCTTCTGCTGGAGTCTATATGAGCGTAACAACATGACAGGAGATGGACAACCATGTAATGGCAGAAACAGCAAACAGGGCAGAAATCCTTCACTGTAACTGAAAGCTGTTTGACAGTTTACTAAACGTGCTGTACTTTTCAGACTGGACGCAGGTTTTACATCTCAAAAATAAGTTTCTCTTGTTCAGTATTATTTTGACCTCTTTATGTAGGTTAAAACAAAAAAGCTACAGCTGACACGTGTTGAAGGCTTTCGTCAAAGATGCGGCAGCAGCTGCAGTCAGCTTACTGCAGCCCTCACTTTAGTATGTTTAAGTGAGCATGCTCTTCCACGTATCAATTCTTATAACTTATTTTAAGAGTTGGAAAAATGTTCATGTTAAGCAATTATTGGTATCACTTTACAGTAAGGCTCCTCCTATAGATGGCTAATAAATAGTTTATAGATCAATCAACCTTTATTTATACAGGTAAATCCCATTGAGCCTCGAGGACTCATTTACAAGAGAGACCTGATTTCAACAAAGAATGATGACAACAATGGACAACAGAAACAACAAAACAGTTATAAAAAAGCATAATACAGTTATTTATTTATTTATTTATTTTAACAAATAGGATGGCTAAAAGGAAAAGGTAACAAAACAAAAAACAGCTAGATTCCAAGACAAATGTAGAAAACTAAAAACAGGAACATGTCAGCATTGGACCCTGCCAGGTGTCCAACAGATTCTTAAAGACACTTAGAGAGGTCAAGGTCGAGAGCTTCAAATCTTTTTGTAAGATAGATAGATACGTTATTAATTCCTCTATAAACACTTTATAAATCATTAATTGTTTATTATGCATTCATTAAGGGTGACGGAGACAAAACAGACCTGTTTCTGAGCCAAATCTGTTCACTTTTTATTTCATCTAGAGTTGTTATATTAAACATTTCAGACTAAGTTACTACCTTGTAAGCACAATCAGTATTTGTAAACCTATTTTTTTAGGATATAGTATTACTTGTAGATGCTTCTAATGCAGTGATAAAGTACAATATTATATGCTAAAGAAATAGGTTTACAAATACTTGTAGTCTGAAATGTTTAATATAACAACTCTGTCACCCTTAATGAATGCATAATAAACAATTATTAATGATTATAAAGTGTTTATAGAGGAATTAGTAACATATCTATAAACTATGTATTAGCCATCTATAAGGGGAGCCTTATTGTAAAGTGGTACCCAATTATTGTTACGTGTTGTTGAAAAAAAAAAACAAATGGAGCAAAAATCTTAAACAGATCATGTATATCAGCCATCAACTGCCCAGAGTTCTATAGATTGGCGCTCGGCATAGAAAACTCTTATTGTTCAATCTCTAGTCATTGTGTAGATAAAATATTTTTATTTAGAGTCTAAAGAAATTAATTATTCTTGTTTTCTTTAAGACTTTTTTTTTCTATCAGCTGCTCCCTTCATCAGGAGTTGCAACTGCGATCTAACTCACACGAAGCCAATTGTTTTTACGTCATATGCCCTTCGTGACACAACCAGACCACCGAGCTACCACAGCCCTCTGCGTGGAGCAGAGCTGCCTGCGGGAGCAGATGGTGTTAAGAGCCTTGCTCAAGGGCCCAGAGTGGGGCAATTGAGTATGAAGGCAGGTGTGGGTGCTTCACCTTTCCCACCCACATTTTGATTTTGTCGGTCTGGGGAGTCAAACCGGCAACCTTCCGATCACAGGCCCACCTTCTCTAGTCTCTGCGCCACCACTCCAATAATCTAATATTTTGTATATTATCTGCAGCTGAAGTATGTAATCTTCTGGGATTGTCAATTAATCTGAATGTTTGGTTAGGTTCTTTTGTTTATTTAATAAAATAAAAATTAGGTGCAAATTAAACCCTGTTTCATTTAAAGATAAGGTCTGAGCCAAACAGGTAAAAAAAAAAAGTATTTTAGAGAATGAATTTCTGAAGACTTCAAGAATTACTGACATTTAATAGGTTGGAAAATGTCAAAGTTATAACAAATGAGTTTGTCCTCATTCAGACAAAAATATTCACTAGAATGTGCAATTTTCTGTGAGGAAAACAAGTTTTTAAAAATATCTCAATAACCAAAGTCTTTTATTACACAAATAATGAGTCCACCATTTGAAAAAACACTAAAGGCTTTAAAGACAATAGGCTTTAAATTCAAATAAAAGTTGTTTTTTTTTGTTTAAGAGTTAACAAAAAAAATCTCAAACCAATGTAAAAAATCTTGTTCTCTCTGTGAAACACGGTGGTAGCAGACTCATGGTTTGGGCCTGTGTGTTGGTGTATTTACAAAACATAATCACATATAAATGTGGTAAAAGAACTGGAAATCAATATTTATTTATACTTTATTTTTTAAAAAACAGCTAAACCTTTGAAGTGCACTTCAAGTACTGTCATAAAGCCTCAAATGGTGCACATGAGCAGACAAATATTCCAAATGTTCCAAATCGAATATTTTTGAATCCAAACTTTATTTTCCAAATCTTTTTTCTCATAATGTTTTTTTTTTTTTTTTTAGAACGGACATGATAATAATCAAAATTCAAGGTTTGAATCATAACTTGGAAACCGTCTGCGAGAATGATGAAGATAAATTGGAATGCATCTATAAAAACTGCATGGTTAAGAACATGTTTCTCTTTTATTTATTGTCAGCTTCGTATCCAATCAGTCATGATGCAGGGCAGAAAAAACTCAAGGCCACAAAAAGGACAAAAAGCAGCAGGAGAGGCAATGAGCTGGACGCAGCGGTACCTAAAATACTCATTTATCATTTAATACCAGACAAGTTTAGTTATTCAAAATAATTACATTTACAAATCTCTTCATTCCAAACACAAATAAACCACTGTGAGCAGCATCACCTTTCAGCCGCCCCTCTATCCAGGGGACCACTCGCACTACACACAAGTGTATGAGTCACTGAACCCAGTGTGAATCAGCTATGATTCATCACCCCCCACCCCCCCAAGCAAAGTAAAAAGGCAGTCACCCTCATTATCTGATATCAGTCCTGCACACAGGTTCACCGCTCCACCAAGACATTAAATGTTCACCATCCCAGCCATCTTACAGGATAAATACCGGAGAGAGAGGAATTAAAAGATGGGGAAAAAAGAGGAGAAGAGAGATTTGGGCTGCTGCTTAAAGAGTGGAGCTCATCAGGTGGAAGGAGGAGGATCAAATGTTTGGTTACATCTGAAATGTTTACTGTCATCCTAGAAGTTTGGAGCTGATGTGGCTCGAGGATAGTGTGTCGAAGCCAGATAAAATGAAGGATTCCCTCCCTCTCTTTCCACCCATATCCTTCATGCAACACCCCCTCCCTTTCAGTCCACAGAGGAAGTAAACAGCCTAAAGGAAAATAATCATGTTTTTTTTTTTTTTTTTTTACATGATTGCACTGCCAACTGGACTGGCTGCATACATATTAATAATAATAATAAAATGCATCAAATTTGAATTTAATTGCACAAATTAGAAGCAGTGAAACAAAAATGTCTATAAATATATTCCCGGAGTGACAGGCATACCTTGTTTTTAATGTTGCAGTGGCAGCAAACAGTCCACAGATATTTGAGGGTCCTCCACAGGAGGATGATGAAGAGACCCCCGAAGAACGTCACCATGGAGGAGGCGAGGAAAGCCCACCACATGCGCTGTCCGTTATCATCGCACGGCACATCGGACGAGAACGGGATGACGAGGTCTTCCATCTTGGATATTAGGATCGAGGAGTCCGGGTTGATGTTGCTGTTGATTCCACTTGTCCTCATAGAGCCGTCGCTGCCACGGGGAGCCGTGCCATCCGCCTCGGCTAGCATTGAGGAGCCGTGGAGAGCCTGTGCCAGCGTCCCCAGCCCCACTCACCAGCCATGTTGCTTCAAACAAATAAAATAAAGAAATTCGGTTTTTTTTTCAACCCTCCTCTGCTGTAGATTGTGATTAGCCTCCCACCAGCTGGGGTGTCCGCGCGGAGACCTATGAATTGTTTATTTGGAGCGGAGCGCACAGAAGCAGCGCAGTCCGTCTGTGGACCTGCTTCATTTAAATCCGCAATAAAAACGAGGCGCTCCTCGTTCTAATGGGGGGGCTTCTCTGCCTCCTATGCCATGACAGGGACGGGTCTGCAGCCGCGGCTGCCGGGGAGATTCTGGATCAGCACGACGGCAGGAAATTGTTGCGGCGCGTCGAAAATAATTTTTTAAAAAAAGAGACTTAAAGAGTCAAAAAGGCGACCCGGGTCCTCTTTCTCCCTTTATCTGTCTTCCATTCAGTAGGAGGGGGGTGGGGGGTGGAGGGATGAGCAGCTATACTTTCTTTGAGTCGACTGTTTTGCAACAAGGCGACAACAGACGAGCGAGCGTGTATTTGTTGTTGCAGAGGAGCCCCCCCCTCACATGGCATTCGGCGCTTCTCGGTGCCTGTCAGCTCTGCGTAAAGGCGCTGGCGCTCGGCTGGATGTCACTGCCTCCATTCGGTCCCGCTGCAGCCCCCCCTCCCCGACCACCCCTCCTCAACTCCTTTTGGCACGGAGCGGCCAGCTGAGAGAGAGGGGGAGAGAGAGTGCGCGCGCGCCTGTCAGATCCGCTCCAGAGGAGAGCTGCAGGGAGGTGGTGGTGGGGGGTGGGGTGGGGGGGGGTGAGATTTACAGGTAGGGGGGCGGAGCGGAGCCTAATAATGAAGATGGAAAGAGGGCAGCGAGAGTGCGCGACGGATTCCAAGTCTGGTCTCGACTGCTTGGATGCGGGGGGGGGGGGGGGGGGCGTCTTTGCGCCTGTGACGTACGTCGCAAAGACGTATCGATCATTAAAGCATTATAGTTCGCTATATGCCCACCAATAGATGAATATCTACAGTGGGGGAGGGGAGTGTACATATTAATGTACTGAATTCTCATCAAGCATAGTGCTCTTCTTTTTCAATTATGAGAAAATGGCTTTGCACCCCCCATGGCTGATGGGAGTATCTGTGGTCAATTAGTGTAAAATGTGAACAGTTTTAGCTCCAGGCCAAACCCAGCTGAATGGGTGATGGTGAGGCATGACTAACTGGTTGTTGCACGTGCACTTAAGCCTCAGTCAGGACAAAAAATATGGAAAAACAGTTGCATGGGTTTTAAATGCACCGACTCCTAAACTCACCAGCAGGTGCATGATCAGCCAGCTGTGGTACCAGTAAGTGGAGTCAACTGTTAGCAAAATACAAAATTAACCACTGGATGTATTTTATTGAAACTAACCAGTTCAAATTGGAAGTCAACTCCAAATGCTACAATTTGAGCAAACACAAAATTGGTGATAGTTGTTCCCAACACATACTCTAATCATCCAGGATCTGTTTTTCAAACTTTTTTTTTTTTTTTAACTGTTGGAATCAACCACGTTTATCTGTCAGCAAAATATTTCTTGAACCACTGGATGGGTTTTAATGAGGATCTCAGAAAGTGATTATTAGATGTACACACCTTTTGGAGTCAGCCCAATCCAAGATGTCTGCCACAGCCAACTGATCTCAGCAACCATAAGTCAGTCAGTTTTACAGGCATCGAGTTGGAATTTGCTGAGAGTCACTCCCAACATATAATAATAATATACCTGCTTAAAACTTTGGCGTTTAACTGTTGGTGTCAACAAAATATCTCATGAACCACTGGACAGTTTTTAATGAAGTCTCAAAAAGTAGTCACATCTACAACTGATTAACTTTTGGAGAGTTGGCTACCACAGCTGATCAACGTTAACCAACACAAAAATGGCTATAAATGAGTCATTTTTACAGATTCTTTTAGCTTGTTATGCCCCATCTAGGTGTAGCCAAGATGGAGATTCCAACTTCTGCATGATTCAAGCAGCCACTGAGGCGGGTTTGCAATTGTAAAGAAAAAATATACATTATTACTTTGAGCACCGTCACATCTTGCAGGCTAGGCCTTTAACTGTTTCAGCATCCTGTACAGCAAAAATAAGAAATATTAGCATACATTTATTTTGCAGATAAGTAATAAATGTCCCAAAAGGTGTGGAGCTGTGACAGTTAATCACTCACAGATCATGTGCAAAGTAAACATACCAAAGTATGACATGTGTCTTATCATAGCAATTTATTAGCCTGGAAATATTGGCGCTTCAATAAAAATAGCAGTGGTAACTGCTGGCAGTTCTTTAACTTGGGGGGGGGGGGGGGGGGTCGTGCTGTAAAACAGACAAGACAAGACAATTTGATCAAACATAGCACTTCAGACTTGCACGTGCAAGCATTTTGTTGTGCTCATAAAATAAACGCTGTGCGGTTCAAAAAGGCCGCTGTCGGTTAGCATGGGGAATGTGAGATTTGGAGCAACAAGCTGTTTGGTTCCACAGAGTGTGATTTATGTCTGGTGTTACAGGAGAAGCCTGCCACTAAAACAGCATCTGATCACCAAGTGTTAAACTGTGGGCCCAGGCCAAACTCTGAAGCTGTCCTCCTGCTGGTCAAATGATGAACTGTCAGCTTTAACTTTTGGTTTTATTGTATTTTTAAAGAGACAAACAAACAAAAAAACATTTAGAAATAAACAGTTTAAAGTCTTAGAAATCCCTGAATGTGTTACACTCGCTACCTTTCATGCCAGACTTTTAGACAAAGATCATCTCATGTTGAGAAATGTTATAGCTGTTTTGGTTAAACCTTGAAATTGACATTCTGCACGATCTCATGCAACATTGCAAAAATCTCATGTGATCAGTTACGGCTCAAAATATGTTGTGAACGGCTCATCCACTACCACGCCATGTTTTAGCTCAACATCTGTAAAACTGACTGAAATATAGACACTTTTGTGTTGGCTAATCTTGAACTGTGGTGGCCATCTTGCTTTGGGTTGACTCCTCAAGTTAAACAGATGTAGAGGTTAACTCAATGAACGCTTGCTAAGAGTTTCATTTGAATCGGTTCACTGATTCATGGGATACTTTGTTAACGCTACAGACACACAGAGACACGATTAAATTGCCGTACTTGCCGCCGTACACATCGCACCATCGTATAAGTCGCATCAGTCCAAAAATGTCTAATAAAGTGGGGGGGAAAAAACACGTGTCGCTTCATCGTATACGTAGCATCCGTTATGCGTCACCACTGACCACCCAGAAATGTGGGCCGGTGTCGTGGCAAAAATTGAATGGCAGTCAAATAGCGGCCGCAGGAGCATGCATGGAAGGACTTTAACAATAATTTAACAAGATTAACACTTAAAAACAATTATTTTTTGCTCGACTTTATAGTAAAGGTGTATCTTAGTTTAACTTTTACTTAATAAATGCACTTTAATGGTCAAATCAGCTGCATTTCGCCTGGGCTGTGCGGAAAAATGCAGCTGATTTGACGTTTGCTCCAGGAGTTGCGGAGCGAGACAAAGGTGGCTCTGTATGGCAAGCCAAGTATCTCATTAATAGCCACTTTTACCTATTAATGAGACACTTGGCTTGCCATATTTGACGAGGGCCCTCTAGTGGCTGAAAATGGTAGTGTTTAATATGTTCCATGTCAGAATGAATGAAATCATCAGATCTCAGCCAAAAATAGGGTTATTAATATGAAGGGAAACACAAATAAGACACTTCACTGTATAAGTTGTAGGCATTCTAATTTATGCAAAAAGGTGAGACTTATACGGCAAAACATATGGTATCGTCACATTTGCTTTCAGCATCTGGGGATAAGAACAACCATAACTCTAAGGTTTGACAGCATTTTCGATCCAATAATTACTGTTGTATAAATTTAGAGGAAAAAAAATGTAAGCTGTAATGTTCCTCAGTTTCAAGCTTTATTTTATGGAAAAGAATTCATATGAAATAATTTTGCAATCCTCTCTGCTTGTAGCTCTAATGGACGTGTTTTGATTTTTTTAAGTTTAATCAGCGTTGGAAGAGTCAAACAAAGTAAAATCTTATAAAGCAATTAAAAAGTTTTTACATTTAATCATTTTTGCTTCGTTAGAAAACCAGATATAGTTAAAAACGCCATAGTGATGAAACGTGCTGGATTTCCTATAGCTTGTTTAGTGTAGTCCTCCTTGTTTGGGCCCAGATATAGGAATCGTGGTGTTCATGTCCAAATCAGGAGCGCAGATGAGTTCCTGTACTGCTGAACTGAAGCTAAAAGAAGAGCAGTCAGGTGGTAATCCTGCAGGACATTTGAAGATGCCAGAGTTAACACTGCACCACAAGAGGTTGGATAGATACATAAATTCATTCCATCAAGCTAAAAGATAAGAAAGAGAGGAACACGCCTCTGACATGAGCTGAGAAAGGCTACAGCTTCCTAGTGAGGCCTACAAAGATCCTCTTCTGTCAGACTTGAGGCTTCTCAAGTTCAGTTGAGCTGTCAGCAGCTGTCTTGAAACACACACCCTAGCTGAAAGGTTTGAGACCTGACTTCTTTCTATAGCAGACCGTGGGGGAGGGAGGATTAGAGGACAGAAGGAACTGAGGCACGGTGAAGTAGAACAGAAGATCAAATTTAGTGTTTAATAAGTGATCAAGACATTGAGCGAACCTTTGTCAGAGAGAATTATATATCGTCAAAAAATAAATGTTCATGCAACTGCACAGCTACAAGGCCCATGTGGAAAACCATTTTGGGTATTGCACAGTGGGTATTTGGAGACACTGGATCCTTTCTTTCTTGCCCCATTGAACTTGACAGGCAGCTGGTGGGTCGTCATTCACCATGACATTATTGGCCAGAAGACCACTTGACTCCAAAAGAGGTGCTTGGAGGAATTAAACTCAAGCTAAAGGCACTCCATCAACCAGTCCTGGCATCGCTCCAAGCAGTCCAACTGGATGGAGAAGAACACAGCAAAAATGTGTTCTTCAACACAAGTAAATACAGTATACTGTAGCTGGAAAAACAATTCATACCTCTGGAGTTTTTCAAAGTTTCGTCATGTTACAATCACAAATTTTAACGGACTTTACAGAGATCATAATGTCTGATCAACACAAAGTAGCTAACAATTGTGAAGTGTATAGAAAATGAGACAGTTTTCAAATAAAAACGGTTTCCAGCTGAAATAACTTAATGTTGATTAAGCATCTCAACTTTATACCTGAACTGTCCATCTATCCATTCATCCACCCATCCATTATCTTCTGCTTATTCCAAAGTTGGGTTGCAGGGCAGCAGTTTGACAGGGAGGTCCTGACATCTCTTTCCACAGCTACCTCTTCCAGTTCTTCTGGGAGGACCCCAAGGCGTTCCCAGGCCAGTCAAGAGACACAGTCTCTCCAGCGTGTCCTGGGTCTTCCCTGGACATGTTTGGCGTTTTTCCTTGGTCTTACTGATGCTGTTTGATCACAAATGTGTAACTTTGTCTAACACATACAATTCCAGTAAAACAGTGTGAGGTTTGTGGTTGTAACATCACATAAACATTTTCAAGCAACTTTTTTTGGTTCCGTTTTCATGGTTTTCTACTATGTCAATGGAATGAAGGTTTACATGCTTTATAAACCAGAGAACGCCATGCCAGTCACAAGTTGTTTAATTCATTAACCTTTACTTAACCAGGCAAATCCCACTGAGATCATAAACTGTGAAAGGACACCAGAATATCTGGAGAAAACCTATACAAACACAAGCAGAACATGCAAACTACACGCATAAAGCTGTCCAAACCAGAAATTAAACCCAGGACCTTCCTGCTGTGAGGCATCAGTGCTACACATTATGCTGTCATGCTGCTTACTGGGTCAACTCTGTCTGTATTAAATTAGTTTTATAGATACTGGTAAATTTAAGGTCCTTTTTGTTAATCTCACAAAAACAAAATATTATTTAAGAATTCACTGCACTATTTTATTTGTAACCGAATAAAAAATTTAAAATATATGATACATAATACAGTATATGATATGATATTAACATATTATATATGAAATTAAACATGATCTTATTTTGGTAGAAAATGACATGTTGCCTCTAATAGCAAATATATATTAACTAAATGTTTCATGTACTAAACATTTTTCAGAATCCTATACTGCAAGAAAATATAAACACAGCACTTTTGTTTTTGATCCCATTTTTCACGAGCTGATCTCAAAAGGTCTAAGACTTTTTCCATGTACTGTACAGAAAAGGCCATTTTCTCTCAAATATTGTTCACACATTTGTGTACATCTGTTATTGAGCGCTTCTTTGCTGAGATAATCCATTCACCTCACAGGTGTGTCATAACAGATGGCCTTGGAGTTGAAGATGCTGGATGTGGAGGTCCTGGGCTGGTGTGGCTACACGTGGTGTGCGGTTGTGAGGCCGGTTGGATGTGCTGCCAAAGTCTCAGGAACACCTTTGGAGACAGCTTATGGTAGAGAATTGAATATTCATATCACAGGCAACACCTCTGGTGTACATTCCTGCGGTTAGAATGAAAATTGAATGCTCTCTAAAAACTTGCAACATTTATGGCATTGTGCTGTGTAATAAAACTGCACATTTTAGAGTGGCCTTTTATTGTGGGCAGCTTAAGGCACATCTTGTGCAACAATCACATGGTCTAATCAGCATCTTAATATGCCATACCTGTGAGATGGATGGATTTTCATAGCAAAAGAGAAGTGCTCACTAACACAGATTTACACAAATTTATGAACAATATTTGAGAGAAAAAGGTCCATTTGTGTACATAGAAAAAGACAGACTTTTGAGTTCAGCTCATGAAAAATAAGAGCAAAGACAAAAGTGTTGCATTTATATTTCTGTTAAGTGTATTTTTTTTTTTTTTTTTTTTTTGCAGTGAATCATGAACTACAATTAAAATGGTTTAAACTGAATAATGGACAACTTAAATTCTTTTAAAATCCTTGTTATGTAAAATTAACATTAAAACTGTAATGTCAAACTTTAACAACACACTCAAAATATGACTAAATAATCAGTAAATAAATGCAAAAAGCTTCAGTATGAAACAAATATTGTAAAGGAATCTAAGAATTTAGAATATTGTTTTCAATCTCATCTCAATTAAAAATCAGCTCAAGATTGATTTACTAAATAAAGGAGTGTTTTGTATATCTTACAGATAAACACATTTTCCTTCATAAGATAGGTCATATAAAAGTAATTTAGGTCTGAAATACATGTTAAAAGTAAAGCAAAGCAATAAAATTGTTAAGCACAACTAAATGTGCAATCTTATAGCAGGGCATCAAATTCCATCCATCCATCTTCTACTGCTTAGCCGTAATCAGGTTGCGGAGGCAACAGGTCCAGAAGGGAAACCGAGACATCCTTTTCCCCAGCAACACTTTTCAGCTCATTCTGTGGGACCCCAAGGTGTTCACGGGCCAGGGAAGATATACAATTCCTCCAGTGATTTCTGGGTCTTACCTGGAGCCTCCTACCAGTGGATGTGCATTGAAAACCTCTAAAAGAAGGTGTCCAGGAGGCATCCTAATCAGATGCCCAAACCACCTCAACTGAATAAAGCAGAGATGAGACTCTGAGGTTCCCAAACCAGACACCCTCCTCTTCATGACTGCATCTTGAGATCCTGTCCATGAACACCACAAACAAGATTGGAGACAAGGAACAGCCTTGGTGGAATCCAACCTTCACTGGGAATACGTTCAATTTTGTGTCAAGAATGTAGACACAGTTCCTGTTATTGTTAGGACTGGATAGCTCTTAAAAGTAACCCAGTCACTCCATATTCTTGCAGCATCCCCCACAGAATGTCTTGAGGAACACAGTCATAAACTATCTCCAGGTCCCCAAAACACATATAGACTGTAGAGGCAAACTCCTATGACCCCCTTATCAACTCTGCAAGGGTGAAGATATGGTCCATTGTTCCATGAAAATGCTCCTCCTGAATATGAGGTTCAACAGTCGGTCATAGTCTTCCTTCCAACACCCTGGAGGAAACTTTCCCAGGGAGGGCATCAAGTGTAAGTGTCCAATAATTGGAGCACACTCTCTAGTCTCCCTTTTTTTTTAAAAAAGGAACCACCACCTGGGTTTGCCATTCCACAAGCATTGTTCCAGTCCTCCATGTGACATTGAAGAGACGTGCCAACCATGACAGCCCCACAACATCCAGAGCCATCAGCATCTCGGGTCAAACCTTGTCCGCCCCTGGTGCCCTGCCATTGAGGAGCTGTTATGACAACCTGGGTGACCTCTGCCATGGTAATGGACTCATCTTCCCCCAAGTCCTCAGACTCTGCCTCATGAAAAGTGGACATGGTGGGTAGATTAAGGAGATCCTCAAAGTGCTCCTTCCTCAACTTGACAAGATCCTCAGTCTGGGTCAGCAACCCCCCACCCAAACCAAGTACAACCTGGGAAGGGGGCCGCTTTCCTTTTCTGAGTCGCCCAACAGTTTGCCAGAACCTCCTAGTGGCCAACTGCAAGTCCTTCACCAAGGCCTCCCCAAATTTCTCCCATGCCAGAGTTTTTGCAACTGCAACCACTGCAGTCCTTCTGGCCACCCTGTACCCATCAGTTGTTTCAGGAGTCCTCTGGTACAACCAAGTCCCGAAGGCCTCCATAACTGCTGGTGTCCACCAGTGGGACCTTTGGTTGTTGCCATGACAGGCACTATGACTTTCAGGCCAGAGTTACTGGAATTGGCATCTGAAATAGAGACCCTGAACATGGCCCGTTCAGATTCAATGTCCCCGCCCTCCCCCGGATCATGTGAAAAACCCTCCTGGAGGTGTGAATTGAAGATCACATGGACAGGGGGCTCCACCAGACATTTCCAGTTCACCCTCACTATACGTTTGGGTTTACCAGGTCTGTCCGGCAGCCACCCCCACCATCGAATCCAGTTCACCACCAGGTGGTGACATCTCTGCCCCTATTTTCACCCAAGTGTCCAAGACATAGGGCCACAGGTCCGATGACATGATTACATAAAGGATCATTAACCTTTGGCCTAAGGTGGACTGTTAACATGTACACTTATGAACCACCCTATGCTCATACATGGTGTTTGTTATGGATAGCCCATGCCTATCACAGAAGAAGTCCAATAAACAAATACCATTCGGGTTCAGATCAGGTAGGCTGTTCCTCCAAATCATTCCCAGATAACTCCATCATTGCCCATATGGGCAAGTCACCCAGTAGCACAAGGGAATCCCCAGATGGCATCCTTGCCAGAAGAGGATTCACCGAGAACACCACTGAGGCATTCAACCGAGGGTTTGTGAGTATTCCCCATACCTGCCAGACACCTCTCTCCCTGGGCAACTCCCAAGTAGTCCTGCTCTTCTTCAGAAGTTGGGTTTCAGGGCCCAAGCTGTGTGTAGAGGTGAGCCCAAACTTATTTAGTTGGTACTGCTTAACCACACAAGCACACACAAACTCCAGCTCTGGCTCCAGTGAGTTAATGGTTCATGTCCCTAGAGCCAGTCTATGCTGCCAAGAGTCAGTATGGCCAGGAACCCTCCTTCGCCTGCTGCTGTGCCAGGCCGCTCCACATAATCACCACCTTAACGTGGTGGAGGGATTTGAGTACCCCTGTGATCCCAGGGGCTATGTTATCTGGGGCATTAGCCCCTGGTAGGATCTCCCATGGCAAATGGGCCTTGGGGAAGGGGTCAGACTAAGAGCGATTCAAAACCTTTGATGGAAGAATAAGTGTCACATCAGGAAATCTCAACTGAAAAGGTGAAACCAGGACACCTCCCTGGAGCCAGGCCTGGGGGTGAGCTCACCAGCAAGTGCCTGTTGGTCAAGCTTTGGCTCCGGGGGGTTGGCCGGGCCAAGCATGAAGAAAGGACAGGAAGCCACCACCATATGGGCCACCACCTGTGGGAAGGTCCATCAAGGTCGGGTGCAATAGATGCCGGGTATCAAACTTGAACAGGAAAATTTGCTGAAAAAAATGTGTGTCCTCAGCGGTTTTACTTTTTCTGTGGTGGGGAAAGCATCTTTACCTCACTGAGATTCAGGTAAATGGTAAATAGACTGCACTTACAGTATATAGCACCTTTCTATCTGCTCAAGACACTCAACGTGCTTTACACTGCAATCTGTGCCCTCATTACCCATTCATACAGCACTCTTACTTCATCTCTACAAAGCTAATTGGACAAATAATTCTAGAGACTAATCAGTGCTTTAGATCACATTCATACACCAATGGGACACACATCAGCAGCAATGAGGGGTTCAGTGTCTTGCCCAGGGACACTTGGGCATGTGACTGCTGGTGGGTTCGAACCCCCAACACGCATTGGAGGATGACTGCCCTAACCACTCAGCCACAGCCAGCCAGGTAGATAATTGTCACATTGTCTTATCTCATCAAAGTAATTGATGGTGTTTATCAGCTACTTTCCCCCCATTTCTGTCACCTTCAGTGATGGATTGACTTGTGTCCCTTAGCAATTCTCAAACAAAAACCTATTTTGGCACCACTTAACACTTGCTTTTAACTGTCATTCACAAGAATCTGATGCAGATTAAAGAAAACAAATTTTCCTAGAGTACCTTGACAAGAACTGGGTTGATGTGGAAGTGTTGCAAATAGAAGCTTATTTTTATTTATAGGAGAGGCAAATAAAAAGCAAAGATGCAGAGTCCATGTTGCGATACAGAAAAATGAGTTTTATTGTCATGTTAATGTCTCAACAAACAAATCACAATCTATGTTTTATAATAAAACTGTTCAATCAGTACCTGGTATTTAGACTTCTTAAGGACCCTTTTTTAAACTTACAATTTCACATTGCATCCCGCTCTACCATAGTCTTACACAAACTACCGTACTCAGAAAAATAGTTACATTACAGTTCGATTCTGCTTATTCTTTTAGCCCAATAGTCAAACTTGTGGACAAATTTTAATTTGGAAAAAAAATGTGCAAGAATAGATCCCTTTTTAAAAACTAATGTGAGAAGTGATCCCCCCCCCCCCCCCTCCACCCGAAAAAAAAAATTAAGAAGAAAAGGCCATCAATGAAATGTAAGGAACTGATGTGACTCATAAAAACTTGAATTGCCTACAGTAAAAATTATAGTACCTATTGGTAATATGCCAGAAACCTAAGAACAAATATATGTTTAAAGGTTTACAGATAAACAAGTGCAAAATAGGAATAAGAAGGATAAAGTTATTTTAGTGGATTTTGGCACAATAAGATACAAGATATAGCTTTAAGGAAGATTGTTTTTTGCCTTCTGAATTATATAAAAAATAAAAATAAACACTGAAAAGTCACTAACATTTAAACGGATCTGAGGAAATATCTTAAAGGTATTACCCTGCAAACTTTGCTTCATAGTATGTTTTATTGAATACATCAATAAGTGACTGACAACCACCAACATAAAACTAAATATAAAAACAAAATAAAACATGCCAATCCCTGTTAAGACATGACTCAACTGTCAAACGCTCCAAGGTATATGACCTCGTAAAAATACATGTAATATATAGTCATATATGTTTTTTTTACAGATTTATCTGCATACTATATATAGTACACTCTACGTTGTTAAATACATGTTAAAGAAATAGAATGAGTTACACAGTGGTCTGTCTTTGCCCGGAGTGCATTCTGAGGAGCTAACCCAATGGCCGCCACTTCAGCCTACCTTCAAAACTTCACTTTTGTTGTGCGCTCTACGCTGCACTGTTCTCAGATCAGACCCCAAATGCTCAAGTAAAAAAAAATTCCTCAGAATTCTAATCAAACGATCAGGGCTGATTTTAGATCAGGCTTCTTTTTGCAAAGGCACTTCTGAAAGGCCTACAAACTGTCTGCACATCCTGCTACTACAGAGACGATGCATAGAGCAAACATTAGTGACTGGCAGCAGGCGGCTTCATTAAGTACACAGCTACATACGTGAAGAGGTTTGATGCTTTTTGCACTTCTGTGATGAAACATCACAAAAAAAAAAACATGATGTCTGATCCTGATGTGGGCATTTCTTTCATAGCATTGCATCCATGCCAACAACCTTGATCCAGCTCAGCTTAAATTGTTATTACAATTCTCAACAAAAGTCTCAAAGTTCTCATACACATCATATATATATATATA